TGATCGCAAAGAGGTAAATGGCAATATCTCATGATCTATTGGATTACTTTTGATGATTTTACCACCATTAGAAAGAAAAAGATTTTCTCTGAAATTTTTATTAGAAAACCAAAAGATGCTAACTTGACAGAAATTGAGAAATTTTAATTTTGGCTCCAGATTATGGATATTGATTGTTTTGATACGAAATGTAACTGCCGATCATTAATCATAGTCTTTCCCTTACTCACAGATTACGAATTAAATGATTAAACGATTAAATGATTAAAAAAAATTTTAGGCAGTTCCAATCTCTAATATAGATTATTTTTAAGTTTATATGTATCAAATATACTTGGTTTTAACAGATTCTTTTATTGGTTAATTTTTTATAAATTATTAAATGATTAAAAATTTTGTTAATGATTCTAGAATAGTTATTTTACTTTTATTTTACTAACTTGATTATTATTTTTTACTTTCTTATAAGGTCTGCTATCAATTAATATTATATTTCTTACTAAATACAAAGTCTTATTAAGAATTATATAATAATAAATATAAAATAATTTTAAAATTTAAATATATTAGACATAAGAATGTTTAATATTAATGAATTTGATTATAGTGCTTATGGAGAAAATGAACTCAATAATATAGAAGATATAAATAATTCAAAAAATATAAATAATATAGATATAGAAATGGAAGATATAGATGAGACAATTAATATAGATAATGAAGATACAGATGATACAGATAATGTAAAAAATATAGAAGGTATAGAAACTAAGACTACTAATATTACTACAAATAATAATAGACGTATTAAAAAATCACCTATATGGGAGTATTTTGATGAAGAAACTAAAAGAGACAAAATTATTGCAAGAAAATATAAAAAATACAAACAGCAATATGGTCCAACTACAGCTACTAGTGTTCTCAATACTCATCTTAAAAATAAACACAATATTATACTTATTTTAAACACTAAACGATTTTCTTTACTTCAAAGACCTTATAGTAAAAATGATACTCAACAGAAAGAACAGTGTTTTAAAGCTACATTTGATCTTATAATTGGTGCTCAACTTCTCTTTTCATTTATTAAAAATCTTTAGTTTCATAATACAGTAAATATATATGATTCAAGATATTAGTTACTTTCAAGTAAATATATAAAAAAAAAGACATTATCTTAATTTGAATCATGTCGTATACTTGTTGCCCAAGAACTTAAAGATCTTATTGTCAAAGTTGCACTAACTACTGATATTTGGACATCAATATCAAACCAAGCTTATTTGGGTATTACTATATATTATATTGATAACAAATAGAAGATACATCATTTTTTACTTGATCTTATTCCCTTTGAATATCATCATACTGCAATAGATATAAAAAATAAGCTTGATAATATTTGGGAAGAGATGAGTATTAGTAATAAAATAATTTCACTAACAATAGATAATACATCTGCAATGATTTCTTGTAGAAATCTAATAGAACAAGAATGGCAAGAGTTTGAATTTAGTCATCATCATTGTGCAGCTCATATACTTAATATTGCTATAAAAAATGGTATAAAACTTCAACATGAAGTAATTGCCAAGATTCGGCAATTTGTAAATAAAGTTCAAAAATTAACAGTTTTATGTGACAAACTTCGAAACTTTTGTAGAATAACTCAAAAACCATATAGCAAGTTAATTGCTGATATAGTTACACGTTGGAATAGTACTTATCATATGCTTTGTCAATTTAAAAAGATGCATGATGAACTTGACCTTCTTACAACTGCACATCATGAACTTAAAAACACTTATCCTAATAAAGAAGAGTGGAAATTATTAATAATATAATTTATTTACTAGGACCAATGCATGATGCAACAGAAATTCTTTCCAAAAGTTCATATCCAAGTATTTTTGATGTTCGTTTAACTTTTATGGGATTATTTATTCATATTGATCAATTTAAAGTTTATAATTCACATTTAGAAGCTGAATGTTTAATAGCAGAATTAAT